ATATGAAACACACACACACAATTACAGTAGGACCTCATATCCATGATGGAAGGGTTCCAAGCCTCCCCGCCCCCCCCTCCAAAAAATATGTATTATAGCCAATGCTATATACATACTGCAGTATGGTCTCTTGCTCCCACTAACGGCCAGTTCTGGTAATGACATAGTAGATACAGTATGCATATTTCTAGTTTTCTTTTAATATTTTCACACCATGGATAAGTGAATCAACAGATACTGATCCCATAGAGAAGGGAGTCATTTTGTACTCTAAATTCTCTCCTGGACAGGCCAGTTTTAATCTATGGAAGGAAATCTATGATTATTGTTAATATCTAGAAATGAAGCTGCTGTACTGCTACATCATCATCATCATCATCATCTTGGAACTGCAGATCTGGAAGGGACCCGTTAGGATCATCCAGTCCAGCCCGTCGAGGAGGCCCAGTGGGGAAATTCGAACTCTCAACCCCTCTGGCTGCGCAGCCAGAGACCAAACCCAGCAGGTCACGATTGTTGTTGATGTTGAGAGTGTGTGTGGCATAGCGTGAAGCTTTACTATGTTGATGATTTGAACACCTGTGTGTCTTATTTCCCTAAATTTACAATTCACTTAATTGTTCATACCGCCCCCCCCATGTCTGTAAATAATCTTTTTCCTGGGCAGAAGCTTGGTATTCCAAGAATAATTCTTCAACAGGAAATTCAACTGTTTCTGCAGCCTTTGTAATTTCAGGGGTTTGCAACTTAACATCTGCCAGGCTGCCACTATGCTGATATCATCATGGCTATGACTAAATCTGCCAGATTTCAGGTTACAGATTTCTGGAATTACCAAAACTGAAGGAAGAATTTCCCATTTAATTTTTTTTTCTGGGAGTAGCAAGCTTTTGAGGGACTGTGTTGACAACTGAAGGAGTTATAAATACAAGGAGAGAAGTCACACACCCACGAATTAAACTGCAAGGCAGCTTCAAACTATGGCACAAACATCAGACACCAAAAAAGATCATCAAGGATTTTTCTCCATAGATGCAAACTGGAACATGGCTGGTTTGGCAGGATGAGCACTTCAAAATTTCTCTGTGTGTGCTCTTAACATTCTTAGAGGCTAAACAAGTTGTTTTATATTATTATTTTATGTATTCTTTCTTTTAAGTTATTTAATAGTTTAGAAATATATTCTGCCTTTTGTTTTTAAATGTGCCTTATAGCTTAGCTGGTTAGATAGCTCAGTTAGTTAGGTATATGACCGCGGAGCCAGGGGCTGGGGGTTCGATTCTCCACTATGCACCCCGGAAGAGCCAAGCTATGTGCCGTTGAGCAAGCTGTCTAAACTTTATAGCTAAAACCTTACAATTGAAATATGTTTTTTCCTGAATTAGGTATTTACCTATAACTTAAGTTCAGTTTTTATGTATTTTGAAGCATTTGTGCCTTCAGTTTTTTCATAACTTTTCATAAGATGTCCGAATGTTTTCAAACTCTGAAGTATTTTGTGCAGATGGAGCATGGAAGCAACGTAGCTAAATCTTCAAGAAATAGACATGAAACGGGGGGAAAAAGCTTAAGGAAATCTGGAATCGTATCCTGTGACCAGAAATGCTCACAGAAAAGGGAGTCCATGGCAGATGGAGATTTCTAAAAGGGCAAGAGGCTGAAGGCTCCGTGGCAAAGAATTCCGACCAGAAAGCACAGCAGGGAGCAGCATCTGAAGAAACTGGAGCAGCCTCATGAACAGCCTTCAGGTCAGCGATGACTCTCCAGTCATGCGTTTTCAAAGGTCATGATTTAAAAGGGGGCAAATATAAAAAATGGAACGAAGGGCAAATCACGGAGGAAGAGTGCGAATGCATAGCCAACAATTGCAGAGCGAAGGTTAAGAAGGCTGCAGAATGAGCTAAGACTTTCAAGAGAGATTTCGAAAAGATAGGTTTCACCTGTCCAGTGAAAAGGATCTGGGGGCCTCTGCAGAGGACAAGCTGAACGTGAGTCAACAGAATGATGTGAGGAGGGAGAGAAGGCGATGCAGTTCTCTGTTGCATCCTCAGAAGTGCTGTTTCCAGATCAAGGGAAGGAAAGGTACCAAGTCTGGTACATTTTTTTTGCTTTGGTCAGACCTCACCTGAAATACCGTGCCTAGTTCTGAGCACGATTGTAGGAGACGGACAAGTCGGAACCCTTCCAGAGGAAAGATGCTCAGGAGAGGAGGAGGTCTGGAAGCCGAGCCCTAGGAAGGGCAGCGGAAGGAAGAAGCTGGGTTTCTTTAAGCTGGAAAGGACAGAGAGATGCTAAGAGAGTAATCCTCAAATATTCGAAACATGGTGACATAGAAGGTGGAGAAATCTGTTCTCTTCTATCTTCTCTTCGGTGGAAGCTTGTCTCCTGCAGCTCCAGGGAACAGGGGGATCCAAAGGATGAATTAAAATGACAAGAAAGGAGATTTCATCTAAACATCAGGAAGAGCCTCTTGGCAGCCAGACCTGCTTGACAAGGAAATGGATTGCCTCGGGGTCCGAGAACGAGGTTGGATGGCTGCCTGCAAGGGATAAATCGCTTTAGCTTTCCTGCCCCAGCCAGGGATTGGACACGATGATCCAGGGAGTCCCTTCCAGCTCAACATTTCTAGGATTCTACGAGGTGGGAAGATGGAGACTTGAGAGTGAAAGAACTGGGCGTGATCCTCAAGAGTTAAGGATGCACCGAAGGAAGCCAAGGTCAGGATTATCCCTACCATGGCATATTCAATTGGATGCAAATGGTAATAAGAAAAAATAAAATAACTTGTTTGGGAAATTATGTTGGAAGACACCTTTATGAATACCATGTTCCATCAGAAATAAACAAATAAACAGACTGTAGAACAAATCAAAGCTGATTTTTTCCTGGAAGTTATAATGACACGGTGGAGACCGTGGTCTTTGGAGCAGTCATGAGAACAGATGACTTACTGAAAAACATAGAGACACTAGGAAAAGAGGAAGAAGACCAAACGTACGATGAGCAGACTCAAAAAAGGAAGCCATAACCTTTCGTTTGCCAGCCACTAACAGGGGTGTTAACGAGTGGACTTTCTGGAGGTCTTTGATTAATTTGGTTGCCTAAAGTCTGAAAGGGCCTGATGATGCCCAACAAAGAAAATCACGTTCATCTGGGAGTCTGTTGCAGTGAAACCAAGGAAAAGTCCTGCCTCCTGTTTCCAAGACTTCTTGTGGGGTCTCCGCGCTCCCCCACCCCACCCCCTCCATCATCTTGGGTTAAAACATTTTGCACAAAAGGAGTACTTCACTTGGAGAGAACCCCTTGTTTACCGTGAAGGGGAAAGACATCGCGAGGGATGTTGTCCACCATCGGGGAAAGCCAAATTTATTTTGAGACACAGTCATAAGTAAACACTAGGTTGTTACTTGAAAACTCAGTGTAGGGAAGTAAACAGAGTGGCAGACTAGGATTCAGGAGGCCTGTGTTCGAATCCCTGCTCAGCCAGGGAAACTCGGGTAGAACCATTCCTTAAATGTCTCACTTACCTGGAGGTACTATAAGCTGGTCACGAGCTGAGAACACGTAATACCTAGGTTCTCATCTGGTTTACTGATCAAGCTCAGTCCCATTGCAGGGGGTGGGGGTGGTGGGGGCCAAGGGGAAAAAAACACCCAAGTTGGGAGCCAGCAAGCACCGCCAGCAGGGCTCGGCAGAGTAGCTCTCCTTCCAGGCAGCTTCTCAGACTCTTCAGGAGGAAAAGTAGGAGGACCGCTCTGGACAAGCCCCGTCAGCCAGCAGGCAGCCGCCGCTTGGGGAAGCCGACCCCGTAAGGATCGACCGGGATCCACCGCCATCCAGTGTGGAAGGTCCTCGGATTAAAGCCGCCCCCCAGCCAAGGACTAGCACGTGGGGGAGCCTGGCTGCTTGCGCATTCTGAGAGATTCCTAAAAGAGAATTCGGGGCACTCTGCCCAATGTGACTTTCTCCTGCCTTGCCTCCCACAGCATGCCTGAGGAAGGTAGTGGTACCCTAGTGGTTAGAACAGGAAGCTCTAGCCAGGAAACTCACAGTCAACATCTGGCGGTTCAACCCGCC